GGCTTTGTTGCTTCTCAGCTAGATAGCCACTTGTTTATCTTCATGCCTTTAAGACCCCAGACGCTATATCTTTTGATAGGTGGACACCATCAGCGCTTAGTGGCTTTAAACTGCTGACCTTTCAGATCCCAAGCCAACAGTTCACCACAATGCCACCAGGGCTCAGGGGATTGTAGTAGTAATCTAGCACGTGTTCACGGAGGGGCTGATCTCTGGCAGACATATGCTCTTGGGAGCCTATCCTTATGCCCATGCCCTATGGTGGTTATGTGTGCCTGGCATAGAGGTGGGCATACTGTAGGCATTCAGTGATGAGAGCTGTCCCAAGGTGCAGGATTGGCAGCCAGCAGCCTAGTTTCCCAAGGAGCGTCTCTTTGAACGCCTTCATCCGGAAAGGAGCTGCTGCCAACTGCTTCCTTTTTGTCACTGGCTGCTCCGGCCCCAGAACAGCTGGCAGAGCAGTTGGTATCTTGGACTATTTTTAGATGAGGGGATGAGTGGGGTGTTTGTGGATGTGGTGGGCCCAGCCCACTGCTAGTCTCGGAGCTCTGTGTGCAACAAGCTGAGGGGAGAGGGCATGTCCCCCTCTCAGGAACCTGCCCACAAACTTCCACCCAACCTTCTGGGTAAGGCCAAAGGCTGCCTACCCAGTGCAGCCTGCCCTGATTTCTCCAGAAACACACATTATCCTAAGATGGGATGAAGTCCCCTCACTACCATCCATTCGATTCCCACTCATTGTGAAACTGTAACTCTTTATTAGAAGCTGGGAGTACAAAAGCCGAGTCTTTCTCCCAAGAAGTGGCTGGTGGTTTCAAACTGCTGACCTTGCGGTTAACAGTCATGCATAACCACGATGCCATCAGGGCTCCTGGGCGTCCCCCACAACCGGAGGTCATGGTGCCCCAGTGGACTAGAGGCACTGGGCTGAAGCATCGCTGGGTCTCCCCTGCTGCCCCTCAGAGGCTCTGTCCACCATCCTTAGCACCCCAAAGTACAGAATTTAGGTCAGACTCTGGAGTTATTGCAAAGCTGAGTCCAAGAAAGCAGGAACGTGTCACTTGTTACATCGGTTTTCCAATCTGAGAAATGGGCAATTAGCCGACTCTTCCCTAGGACTCCAGGGGCAAGTGGCTGGCATCTTGGGGGGTATGCGTGTATTGAGGAGGGGGTTGCTGAGCACTTGGGCACAGAGGAAGGTGGTCGACCTGGCTCCTGTCGGGGCAATTTCCTCCTCCTCCTTCTGCTTCGCAGGCCTGTGTGGGGGGTGGTCTCCAGGACTCAGGCGGGGCGAGGATCTCCAGACCAGCGCGGTGGACCTGACGACGGTAGGGAACGGATGCTGGGATCTCTGGAGCCTCAGGAACGGGCCGGGGTCCGGGGAGTCCGGGAACTAAGATCTGGCAGCTTTAACAGCGGCTCGGAGCTGGCCAGGAG